CAGCAGTGGCAAAGACCAAGTCGTCGACGTACACAAGGATGTAGAACGGCGGTAGCGAAGTGTCGGTGCGCAGAAACAGCGACGGGTCAGCAGTCGAAGGAGCAAACCCAAGAGCCGCAAGAGTCGTCCTCAGTGTGTCGTGCCACTCACGGGGCGCCTGGCGGAGACCGTAGACTGGCCGCCGGAGGCTCCACTGGGTACCAGGAGGGAACGACCCAGTGAAGCCAGGTGGGCGGCGCAGCCAGATCTCCTCGTGCAGGCTGCCCTGTAAGAAGGCTGTGCTGAAGTCAAGAGAGTGAAGCTCGTAGTCACGCTGAGCGGCAATGTGCAGCAGCACCCGAAGAATGGTCATCTTCGGGGTAGGGGAGAAGGTCTGGAAGAAGTCAACTCCCTCCCGCTGACTGAAGCCTCGAGCAACGTAACGAGCCTTGAAGACAGGCGGAGAACCCGGCGGCCGCTTCACCCTGAAAATCCACATGCCATCGACGATGTTCGCCCTAGGAGGGGGAACCTTATCGACGTAAGTGCCTGTGGACTTCCACGATGCCATCTCTGCGTCCATGGCTGTCTGCCACTGAGAGGAGTACTCACCCGCGATCGCCTTAGCGTAAGAGCGCGGGGTCGGGATGTCTGGTGCATCCGGGTCTCCCTCAAGGGCAAGCAGCATGGCCACGAGATGAGGCGCAGCGGCTGCAAGACACTCAAGGTCCTCGTGCCTGTCCTCAAGGACGTCCGTGCCAAGAGCACACTCACCCCCGACGGACGGAGGACAGACAGACTCAGACTTAGCAACAAGACTAGCGGCGTAGTCTAGACGACAGGCAGCAGCAAAGTCAACGAGCTCAGCGACCAAGGCAGACGCAGCAGCAGACTCAAACGACGGGTCAGTGACAACAGTGGCTAGCTAACCGTGACAGTAGGGTGCTCAGCACGAAACCGGTCACATTCAGGGTCCGAAACGTCAGGCAGAGAGGACGCAGGGGGAGACGGCAGAGAAATAGGTTGCGGGGCAAAGGTAGGACGACGGACTACGAGGTGTGTGCCGGGGACAGCCGGCTGACGCGAACGAGGAACACGACGACCGGTACGACCAGGACGAACAGGCGAGACAGGACGCGACGCAGGCTCACGACGCTCAGCAAGACCACCTGTCTGCTCAGTGTAAGGAGAAGGAGCAAGCAGCGGTGAGCCAGGCTGTAACGGAAGACCAGTAGACGACGGGAGAGTAAGAACCTGACGAAGAACAGAGTCAGGCGGCGGCAGAGACGACAGAGATGGCGTATCGAAGAACAGGCGTGTCGGCGCAACTGCACCAGCACCAGCAGCTCTAATAGCTCCAGGTGCTCCAGCACCTCCAGCAGCTCCAGCACCTCCAGCAGCTCCAGCACCTCCAGCACCTCCAGCAGCTCCAGAACCTCCAGCCCCAGAACCGGCACCTCCAGTCCCAGGGTCTCCAACCTCAGTGTCTCCAGCAGCAGCACCCCCAGAACCAGCACCTCCAGTCCCAGGGTCTCCAGCCGCAGTGTCTCCAGCAGCAGCACCCCCAGAACCAGCATCTCCAATCTCAGGGTCTCCAGCCTTAGTGTGGAACGAGGGCAGGTCGGGGAACAGGTAGGGTAGCATGAGACGGCCTAACACTGGAGTGGCCGAGGAGGAGTAGCACGCAACTACAGCGTCATATAGTGCCTTCGCAGTCTCGTGCTGGCTAAAATGCGCGTGCTCAGTGATCGGCAGGTGGTTGCGAATAGCGAGGCGTGCAGCAGCATCGCGAGTCTGCCACTGTGAGCGGTCGTGAGCAGAAACATCGTCAGCAGGAGCAACGGTAGTGCCAGACGTGTGATCGAATAGTGAAACATTGTCTTTGACATCAGTCATAAGGAACAGCGTGAGGTCGTCGAGCCAGGTGGCGAACTCGATCGGGCTACCGTCAGGCTCAAACGCGAGAACATTGAACGTCGCCATGCTTGTAGCGTAGGCAGCAGCAGCAGGCCAAGGCAGCAGGAAACCGGCAGTAGGCAAAGGCAGCAGACTCAGGCGGCAGGCAGGAGCAGAAGATAGGCAGGCGCACAAAATAGGAAGGCGCACTCCAGGCAGACAGACACAAGGCAGGCATGCGCTCAAGGCAGGTAGGGCACGCGCGGCTGCGGGCTGCGCGCGGGCTGGTAGGTCGCGGTGCGGGCTGCGCGGGCGGTGCGCGAGCTGCGCGCGGGCTGCGCGCGGGCTGCGCGGGCGGTGCGCGGGGCAGCTGCGCCGCACGCGGGCTGCGCGGGCTCAGGGCGGGCTGCGCGGGCGACGTGCGGGGCATGACGTGGCTGGCAGCAGCGGCACGCGCTAAAAAAAAAGGTATGCGCGCGCGCAGCCGAGGCGCTCGCGGGCAGCAGGCAAGGCAGATAGGCAGGCAAGGCAGGTAAGGCCGTAGGCGAGGTAACACGGTAACCGGTGGCCTAAATCTTAGGTCCTAAAGGCCTACTGCTCTAGATACCATCTTAGGAGTTAGGCAAGAATGAGTTTAGACTATCGAGAGATTTGTACAAGAGGAAAACCCTAAGGAGTTATACCCTACAGTATCTATCCCACTACAGCCTACCACAAGTATAACACATATATATATATATATATGTATATGTTTGACACTAAGCTGATACAATTTCAAAAACAGAAGGAATGAGTAGACGAGGGCATACAAGGGGGCATATGTAGGAACCCATACCCTTTATGATCAACATACCGGTAGCCTACATAATGTACACATACAAATGTGTACGTGTATGTTGATGAGAATTACGGTATCCGAAGTGCAAACTTGGCCGATATTATTAGTACCCAACCTCAATCTTCTGAGGTTCCTGCCCAGCTAAGACTCTTGATATATTGTCTTTTCACTTCATTGTATCGCCAGTTCATCTAGTCACAAATTGTCATTTGCTGATTCTGAGCACAAGTAGTAACAGGTTCTTCATTGAGGTGTACAATCTAGTTTTATCTAGGTTACACGAGATTTCCAATAGAATGTCAAAACGCGCGCAACATACTTCGTCCGTGTCCACTAGTCACTCCCGCACCGTAGTGCCAATCGTAGGTTTCATTTATACGCCAGTCCGCCATCGTCTAGGGTTGCGATCACGCTTTCGATCGGCGATCCCGCCGAATGCTTACTCTTGTCACGCCTCCGCCGCGGCCTCACCTCGCCTCCGCCGCTGCTTCACCTCGCCTCTCCTCGCGGGCCCACAGCGCTTCTCCTAGCGGCCTGCCTCGTCGCCTCCCCCCGCTGTCTCGCCTCGCCTTCCTTTGCATCGCCGCGAATCGTCCCCGCTGTCAAGCCCCTGCTCATGGCCTCGCCGCGCCTCCCCACGCTGCCTCGTCTCACGCCTCCGTGAACACACTCACCGCGCCTCACACCGCTGCGGTTTAGCGTGCTCTCGCACGTTCAAATTCGCCGCCCCCTCGCGAAACCTAGCTACGACCTATCCGCACTAGCCGCCGCAGCCGAATGTGAGATCGCGACAGCCGCGTCCCCTTTCCTCTTCGTGCCTCCCCATTTCCCCTTCCTGCCTCCCCATTTCCCCTTCCTGCCTCCCCATTTCCTCTTCCTGCCTCCCCATTTCCCCTTCCCGCCTCCCCATTTCCCCTTCCCGCCTCCCCATTTTCACTGCAAGCCTCCCCCATATCCCCTCCTTGCGTCCTAATTTCCCCCCTCCTGCCTCCCTTCCTCCGCGACCTTCCCCTCCCCTTACCACCCGTACCCTACCCTCCCCTCCCAATCCTCCCTTTCAATCCCATTGCTTCGTCGTCCATCCCCTACCCACCCCTTCCCCCCTCTTCCTCCCTATTCCCTATTGGTCCCACCCCGTCCCTATTCCCTATTGGTCCCTCCCCGTCCCCATTCCCTATTGGTCCCTCCCCGTCCCTATTCCCTATTGGTCCCACCCCGTCCCTATTCCTTATTGGTCCCTCCCCGTCCCTATTCCCTATTGGTCCCTCCCCGTCCCTATTCCCTATTGGTCCCACCCCGTCCCCCCGTTTATCCAGCGCCACTTCGCCGCGAGGAGTGCGGGTGAGAGCAGGAGGGGGGCCCGGCGTATTTGAGTTGAGGCGCACACGTTTGGAGTCTTGCCTCCCTGCACGAGGTAAGATAGCCCAGAGCCCCCTGCCATTACCTTCCTTCCCATCATGCCCATCCATTCCCGCACTTCCCCTGCTGCCTCAACCTTCCTGCCCCCCCTGCACGAGGTGAGACAGCCCAGAGCCCCCCCCCATTACCAAACGGGTGAATGGGCCGCCAAATCTGACAAGGTGGGCCCACCGAACCGGTGAATGGGCTCGCCAAATGTGACAAGGCTGGCCCACCAAACAGCAGAGGGAGCGGGTGACACGTGTGTGCGAGGGAGAGGAGTGGTAGTGGGATTGGATTCTCGCGACGAGCTTAGGTGTGGCGCACGGTGCTATGGGAAGCGGTACGAGTGAACGAAGGCGCGGCGAGGGGGCAACACATAATTGAACGTCCAACCCTCTCACAAGGCGCCACCAGGGGCCTCGTGACCAGCCATGTCACGGGCCTTTCATGAATCACGACGACAAGTCCATTGTCACTGTTTGTCACCACATTCCTCCTGGCGCACACCAACCGGGGCAGGGGGGGGCCCATGATTACAAGATACACACCTGCGAGTTAGCCTAATCTGAGCTCGGAGACGTGGTTAGAGTTCCCTTTACCGCTAACGCGGCGAATGTGCTCTTTCCGATGATTTTGCTGCTTGGTCTGTCGAGTTTAGCCAGCACGACGCCTTGATTCGTCGATTACTACTAGCACTGGTTAGAGAGGGCTGGCGTCACACGGATTGTCCACACCCACCTATCCTGTACCGTTGGAATTTTTAACTCACATGCGACATGTCGCCAACCCAATTCTCGTCGATTCAATTCACACATGCGGAATCCATTCCCCAAAAGTCGACGTTTAAAAAACCTGCTGCCAAATGTATACGGCCGCTTTAATCGCAATGTATTTGTGATTGCTATCATAATCTATTGCTGCTTGTGTAATTCCCCGAGTCTTTACAGTTGAACTTGGGTTGTCAGCAGAATCACGACGGCAAATAAAGCTCCGAATTCATCGGAGCCCCCGCAGCCACTTCTCTCTGCGATCAGCCGTTCGTTTTCGGGGATGGTCGAGCCATGCACAGCCAGAGAAAGCAGAGAGTCAGCGGGCCAAGCAGGAGCATTTCCGCTGGACCCAGCGGCGCCTCACTCACCGCAGCCGCAAAGCCCTCCTCTCGCCCCGTTGGACCCGCAAGAAGCTGGGGACTCGCGGTGGAGCTTCGCCGTCGTCAACGTATTTCTGTAGTGAGTGTTGTGCTAAGGAGCGTTGGTCTCGCAGTGCTAGTAGAGATCGTTTGTATAGCAAGTCGCCCTGTGCCGCCACCGTCAATGGGTACACGCCACGGCGTGATCGCTGCACAACTAGGCAGCCAAAGTCCACTTTGAGTCGCCTGAAGAACAGTAGCATTGGAAGTAATCCTGCAACTAGGCAGCCGAAAACGGTTGTGTTACGCTCGCTGCCCCTCCCTGCCTCTTCTTGTCCCTTCATGCCCTTTCCCGTTCTTCCCTGTCGTTCGATACCCCCCTCCAACTACCATCCCCCATCCTCCATCCTCCATCCTCTCTCCCCTATCCTCTATCCCCCATCCCCCATCCTCCATCCCCCATCCCACATCCGTCATCCCCCATCCCACATCTGCCTTCCCCCATCCGCCTTCCCCATCCCCCATCCGCCTTCCCCCATCCCCCATCCGCCTTCCCTCATCCCCCATCCCCCATAAGCTTTCCCCCACCCCCCTTCCCAATCCCCCCCATTCTCTTGCAGTAACAGTCGGGTGCAGTGCAGCAAGGTGCAGGTGGGGCAGTGGAGGCAAGGCGAAGATCACCCTTCCCACACCCCCCATACCTCCAACTCCCCTCTCAAACTCTCTCTCTCCCAGGACCCTCCTTAATTTTTCCTCCCCGCTCCCCCATTCCCGTTTTCCACTCTTTTCTCCTCTCCCAGTGACGGTCATGCCAGGCGCCGGCCCTCATGCAACCCTCATGCAACGAGCTACAATGCAAGCCTTATTCCCCCTCCCTGCTCCCTGCTCTCCCAGTGACGACCGTGCCAGGCGCCGGCCCTCATGCAGCGAGCTGCAGTGCAGCAAGGTGCAGGTGGTGCCGTGGAGGGGAGGCGAGGGGCGTGCGGCAATGGAAAAGGGCGAAAGGGATAGGAGGGCCAAAGGGGGTGATGGAGGGGACGGGAGTTTGGGAAGGAGTGGGTGGGTGGCAAGTGAAGAGCCCGAGGATGTGGAGATGGAAGGTGAAGGGTGTGAGGATGCAGAGCTGGCAGGCGCCCTGGCTGCTCTTGGCCTGCCGGTGCAGTTCCGTGGAGGGGTCCGAGCCATGCAATCAGCACAAGATGCTAAGGTGAGCGGGGAATGAGCAGTGGAGGAAGGTGAAGGGTGTGAGGATGAGGAGCTGGCAGGCGCCCTGGCTGCTCTTGGCTTGCCGGTGCAGTTCAGTGGAGGGGTGCGGGCTGTGCAGTCAATGCAAGACGCTAAGGTGAGCGGGAAATCAGCATTGGTGGGAGGGGAAGAGTTGGTGGATGGAAGATGAGGAGGTGGTAGGCGCCCTGGCTGCTCTTGGCCTGCCAGTGCAGTTCAGTGGAGGGGTGCGGGCTGTGCAGGCAGCACAAGGTTTTAAGGTAAGTGGAATATGAGCAGTGGTGGAAGGGGATGGGCTGGTGGGAGCAGAGCTGGCAGGCGCCATGGCTGCTCTTGGCCTGCCAGTGCATTTCTGCGGAGGGGCGCGGGCTGTGCAGGCAGCAGCACAGGCAACTAAGGTGAGTGCGGAATCAGCACCGGTGGAAGCAAAGCTGGCAGGCACCGTTGCTGCTCTTGGCTTGCAGGTGCGGAATCAATACCATGCAGACAGCACGGCACGTGCAAGAGACGTTTTTGAGAATCCGCAATAGGCAGCACGAGACGTTCTTGCGAGCGAGCATGAGCGTTGCTGATGCAATTGCTCCGACTTTCTGGTGCTCCACCCCCGTTGTCCCCTTTGCCTTAATCTACTCCGCGGTACTCCTTTTGCTGCTGCATCACTTTCCAGTGCAATTCCCCTCGTTTCTGGACTGCACTGTCCGGGCCACTCCACTGACTGGGCCCTCCCTCCCACCCAACCATGCGTGCGGTATTTGGACATGCATGTTGATTAACTGTTATTCTAACGTCCCTGCTCGAACTTCATCTCGCGCCCACTGTTTGTATTCGTTTCTTTTTGTGGTGCTGCAGCAGGGCGGTGGAGGTGGTGGTAGTGGTGGTGGTGGTGGTGGTGGTGGCGGTGGTTCCGGTGGGGCTCGTGGAGGGAAGAAGAAGAGGCGGGGGAGAAAGAGGGGCGATGGACAGGCAACAGCAGAGTGTTCCACAGGCGCAGGGGTAGGGGGTGGTGCAGAGGGTGTGGCAGGGGTGGGTGCAGCGACAGCAGTGGAGGGTGGTGTGGATGCAGCAAGGCAGGTCGCTGCTGATGCAACCATGAGTGCTCTCACAGGGGCAGAAGTGGAGGGTACTGCAGAGATAGCAGTGGTGGGGAGCGGTGCAGATGCAGTGGGGGTGAGCATTGTTAAGGCAGTTGGGGGTGGCAGGGGGACAGCAGCACGGGTTGCGGCAGAGGCAGAAGTAGTGGCAGTTAGTGAAAGAGTGGCACAGGGTGGCGCTGAGAAGATCAGGGAAGAGCAGATTTCGGGAGAGAAGATGTGGGAAGAGCAGATGGAAGGGCAGGGGATGGAAGGGCAGGGGATGGAAGGGCAGGGGATGGAAGGGCAGGGGATGGAAGGGCAGGGAATGGAAGGGCAGGGGATGGAAGGGCAGGGAATGGAAGGGCAGGGGATGGAAGGGCAGGCGATGGAAGGGCAGGGGATGGAAGGGCAGGGGATGGAAGGGCAGGGAATGGAAGGGCAGGGGATGGAAGGGCAGGGGATGGAAGGGCAGGGGATGGAAGGGCAGGGAATGGAAGGGCAGGGGATGGAAGGGCAGGGAATGGAAGGGCAGGGAATGGAAGGGCAGGGAATGGAAGGGCAGGGAATGGAAGGGCAGGGAATGGAAGGGCAGGGAATGGAAGGGCAGGGGATGGAAGGGCAGGGAATGGAAGGGCAGGGAATGGAAGGGCAGGGAATGGAAGGGCAGGGAATGGAAGGGCAGGGAATGGAAGGGCAGGGAATGGAAGGGCAGGGAATGGAAGGGCAGGGAATGGAAGGGCAGGGAATGGAAGGGCAGGGAATGGAAGGGCAGGGAATGGAAGGGCAGGCAGAGGGGGATTCATTCGTGGTGGCGGATGATGGTGCATGGCAGGCGGTGTGGGAGCCGCTCTCCCACGGCGTGTACTTCTGCAATGCTGCTGCCGCCCTCACCCAGTGGCACCCGCCCGACCACGGGGAAGGGAGTGGGCTCGCATGCTGGGTGGGATGGACGCCCGAACAGGCTGTAGCAGAGCAGGCTGCAGCAGAGAAGGCTGTAGCTCACCAGACATTATTTGTAGAGGGCGCTTCCCCACAGGCAGAAGCGGTGCAGGTCTTATCTGAGCAGGCTGTAGCAGAGGAGGCTGCAGCAGAAGGGACTGTAGCAGGGGAGACTGTAGCAGCGGAGGCTGTAGCAGCGGAGGCTGTAGCAGGGGAGGCTGTAGCAGGGGAGACTGTAGCAGGGGAGGCTGTAGCAGCGGGGTATGAGAAGTACTGGCAGCAGCGGTACGGTCTGTTCTCACGGTTCGATGAGGGCGTCCTATTGGATGCTGACGCGTGGCCCCTTGTCACTCCTGAGGCCATCGCCGCCCATCACGCTGCCATGTGCGCTGCTGCCATGGATTATGATGATGCCACCTGTGCTCCTGCCACGTATGCTGGCCACTCTGCACCTCTAAGTTCAGAGGAAGTGGTTCAAGAGCAGAGGGGGGTCCAAGTAAAAGCAGCAGGGGAGGAGGGGAAGGATGGACGGGAGCGAGAGGTGAAGAGGGATTGTGAGGGGATGGGTAGGCAGGGAGGAGAAGAGGAACTAAGCGGTGGCTTCCTGGACCAAGGGAGGTGTGGGGGTGGAACGCGCGAAGAGAGTTGTGAGCGTGCAGCAGGCAGGAGGGATGTAGCAGGCGTGGTGGGTGTTGAAGACGTGGTGGGTGCAGCAGGCAGGAGGGATGTAGCAGGCGTGGTGGGTGTTGAAGACGTGGTGGGTGCAGCAGGCGTGGTGGGTGCAGCAGGCATGGTGGGTGCAGCAGGCATGGTGGTGGATGCCTTCTGTGGGGTGGGCGGCAACACCATCCACCTCGCCAAGCTGTGAGTCGGACTGACACCAAGGAGGGAGGCAGGGCACTTCTTGGGCTAGCTGAGCTCACTGCCTGGTGGTTTAGGTTCTCCAGTTACCCAATAACCTTCTCCCTTCTGCCTTCTGTGGGGTGGGCGGCAACACCATCCACCTGACCAAGCTGTGAGTCTGACACTAACGGGGCTAGCTGAGTAGAGTGCGCTGTGGTTCACGATTATCCAGTTACCCAGTAACCCACCTGATCCACCAGTGGCGAGGGGATGGCAGCCTATGGGACTTGAATAAGGGTGGTCGTCAGGTGGGTTGACAGCCCAGTGGGAGATGGATTGTGTGGGAGGCGGGCGAGCAAGACCATGTGCCTAGCACGTTCTGTGTGTGCGGCTTATGTTTTTTGAGAATTCTCAAAAAACACAGGCGGGCGAGCAATACCATGTACCTAGCACGTTCTGTGTGTGCGGCTTATGTTTTTTGAGAATTCTCAAAAAACACAGGCGGGCGAGCAAGACCATGTACCTAGCACGTTCTGTGTGTACGGCTTATGTTTTTTGAAAATTCTCAAAAAACACAGGCGGGCGAGCAAGACCATGTACGGCTCCCACGTAGCTGTACCTGAATGGGAGCCACCTGTTACCTGTACCTAGCACGTTCTGTGTGTACGGCTTTGTAACAGGTAGCTTCAGTTGCTCGTGTGGTAGCTCCAGTGTTTTCTTACTCTACTGGTGAAACTGTGAAACAGTGTGACAGTGTGGAAGCGTAACAGTGAAACCTTGTGCGCATGGGTCTTCCACCAACTCCCTTGAACGTAGCTAACAACCACAGCACTCAACGCCATTCACATCCACGCCATTCACATCCGCATCATACGCTGTGTCACTCCCCATCCCCGTTTCCCCATCCCCGTTTCCCATCCCCGTTTCCCCATCCCCGTTTCCCCATCCCCGCTTCCCCACCTCCTCACTCCACACTCCCACTTCACCTCCATCTCTCTGCTCCTCACCCCCCCACCCGCCAACCCCCAATCCCAACCTCTCCCAGCTGCTCCCACGTGCTGGCCATTGAGATGAGCCAACACAAGCAACACAACCTCATGCCAGAACACAACCTCTTTCTCCGGCCCCTGTGCCTCCACATCTCCACCTGACCTCCATCTCTCTGCTCCTCACTCCCCCCACCCGCCAACCCACAGCTGCCCCCACGTGCTGGCTGTTGACATGAGCGTGCCTCACCTGGCCATGCTGCACCACCACCTCTATTCTTGGCCCCTGTGCCTCCAACATCCCCACCTTTGCTCCTTCTCTTTGCTCTCCAATCCCAACCCCTCTCAGCTGCTCACATGTGCTGGCGGTAGACATGAGTCTGCCTCGCCTGGCCATGCTGTAGCCCCTGTGCCTGCACATGTTTGCCCGACCTGTATCTCTCTACTCCGCATCCCCAACCTTGAATTGAACCCCTCATCACCTCCCAGCTGCTCACACGTGCTGGCGGTAGACATGAGTCTGCCTCGCCTCGCCATGCTGCAGCACAACCTCAGCATCTACGGTCCCCATCTGCCCCACCGAGTGGATGTGCTCTGCGCCGACTTCCTTTCCCTTGCGCCGCGGCTTAAGGTGGGGCATGGGAAGACCAGTCAGATACATTATGGTTGGCACCACAACCCCTCACAACTCTCGCCCTTCATGGCCCCTGTCTGTCCCACCGGCTAGATTCTCTTTATGCCGACTTCCTCTGCCTTGCGCCGCGGCTTGAGGTGGGGCATGGGAAGACCAGTCAGGTACCTTACGGTTTGTACCACAACCCTCACAACACTTGCCCTTCACGGCCCGTGTCTGTCCCACCGGGTGGATTTCCTTTGTGCCGACTTCCAGTGCCTTGCACCGCGGCTTAAGGTGAGGCATCGGAGGATTTGTGAGGTAATGTATTATTTGTTTGCGCCATGACCCCTCACAACACTCGCCCTTCACGGCCCCTGTCTGTCCCACTAACTGGATTCTTTTTGTGCCGACTTCCTCTGTATTGCACCGCGGCTGAAGGTGAGGCATGGAGGATGTGCGAGGTGTCTTGTGGTTTGCACCACAATAACCCTTCACTTCTCAAGTCTCGCCCTCTACGGCCCCTGTTTGCTGCACCGAGTGGATGCGCTGTGCTTCGTGCCGACGTCCTCTGCATTCCACTGCGCCTTAATGTGATTGGCTGCATGCACGAGGCATATAAGTACCCTCCAGGGGCCTTGAGATTCGAACCAACTTTCTCTCCTTTGCACCACGGTCCTCACACCCATGCCTGACATCCATGTGACCACAAATACCCATGCCCTGACATCCATGTGACCACAAATACCCATGCCTGACATCCATGTGACCACAAATACCCGTGCCCTGACATCCATGTGACCACAAATACCCATGCCCTGACATCCATGTGACCACAAATACCCATGCCTGACATCCATGTGACCACAAATACCCATGCCCTGACATCCATGTGACCACAAATACCCATGCCCTGACATCCATGTGACCACAAATACCCGTGCCCTGACATCCATGTGACCACCCACCAGTTTTGCCGTGCGCTCAACCAATGTTCCATTCTCCCACCCCTCCTTTACCCTGTGCTGCAGGGCAGGCTGATGTGGTCTTCCTGTCCCCCCCATGGGGCGGGCCAGAGTATCTGGACCAATCAGAGTACGACATCTGGAGCATGCTGCAGCCAGTCAGCGCGTACGTGCCGCCCTTGAGTGCCCTTTGCGCGTATTCCTCAAAACTTCTATGTTCGGTTATCATGGTGTTGAGTGGAATGTGCAATCTCTCATTCCATGTGTTCACATGTGCTGACTAGCCCTCTCTCCACCCTCGATACCACCCTTGCTCCCATTGCCTTTCCTTTTCCCTCAGTTTCGGTACCAGAGACCGCTGAAAAACAACACTCTACATCACTCTCGATTGCACCTTTGTCTCCTGTGCTGCTTCCCCTTCCCCCAGCTCTGCCCTGCTGCAGCTGGCACTGAGCATCGCCCCATCAGTGGCCATGTACCTGCCTCGTAACACTCCCATCTGCCACTTGGCACCACTTCACGCCTTATACCACCTTATTCTCCTGTTTTGCTCCTCCCCCCCCCCCCCCCCTCCGCCCTCACACCCCCACCCCAGCTCTGCCCTGCTGCAGCTGGCACTGAGCATCGCCCCATCAGTGCCCATGCACCTGCCTCGTAACACTCCCATCCGCCCCTTGGAGCAACTCCACCCTCAGTACCACCTTGTCTTCCTTGTTCCTTCCCCTCCCCCAGCTCTGCCCTGCTGCATCCATCGCTGAGCATCGCCCCCTCAGTGGTCATGTACCTGCCTCGCAACACTCCTATATGCCACTTGGCGCCACTCCACCCCCTATACCACCTTTGTCTCCCTTGTTCCTTCCCCTCCCCCAGCTCTGCCCTGCTGCATCTATCGCTGAGCATCGCCTCCTCAGTGGTCATGTACCTGCCTCGCAACACTCCCATGCACCACTTGGCGCATCTCGCTCGCTCCATCACGCCTTCTGGTCCCTGCCTGGTGCGTCACTTTTGACACATGACTCATGCTGCAACTTGCTACAGTGCTGCTTATATGTGCTCGTTAGAACACAAAGACCTGAGGTCCCTAATATATGTTTGACATTCTTGTTTCAACTTCTTTCAATGTGCCACAGGTAGAGCGGAATTTTTTGAACGGGAAGTTCAAGTCTATCACTGCATACTTTGGCCCTATTGCACGTGTTCCCAGATGCATTGAGTGTCAGAATATCAACAATCAACGGCAATACTCTGGTCATGTCTGAAAAGCATAATAATACCAGACTCATACTAGTAGTACGTAATATGCAGCTGAAGGTGTTTCAAGAATATATTGAATGTTAAAAAATCAATAGTGTACACTAACATCAAAACGATGGTCATGTCTGGAATGAAAAGCATGATACAGCCGAAATCTTCCTAATACATGGCTGCAGGCCCGCACGTGATCACAATCTCACACATTGCTATTTGAGAGCACTGGGTGGGTGCACTTTAAGGGTTGAAATCGCATTGCGCCCTGCCTGTTTATTGGAAACAAGTGACTTTAACCGCTTCTGTCGTGTCGAAACGCTAAGTCGTAATCGAAGCGAAACTGTAAGGCTGCTGAGGCTCCTCGCGTCGCCTTCGGCATTTCCCATCGCAAAACCTATACCCAACCTCGCTCGTCCGAGGTTCCCTCCTAGCTAGGCTAGCCCTACATTAGTCTGTGCATTCATTGTATTCTCAGTTCATTCAGTCACAGCCTCGTTATTCGTTTACCTGCGCACTCTCTTTTACAACTCATAACACCTGGTATCAGAGCTACTTTCCTAGTTCACCCCGCTTTTCGAGGGTAGTTTGGTGGCACGGGTGTGGTTGGTTTAGTGACTACACGACGGTTGGCTGCAGGGATTGTTAATTCAATCCTGCCCGACTCCGATAGTTCGTGTTTTCACTTGCCTGGAGGCCACGGGTACCCGCTTGCCCACCAGACGTAGTGCTAGGCACATGGATCAGGAGGCTGTTAACAAGCTGATGGCGCAAGTGGCAGAAATGCAGGAGGGCATGAAGTCGTTAATGACGGAAGTGACAACACTACGAGCGGAAAACGCCGAGCTACGCCAGACGCGAGGTGAAGCGCGTCAGGAGTCGCCCGTCGAAGCAGGCGAGGGCAACACTCAAGCGGTGAGCAATCCTGTGGATGTGCCCACACGTGACTTCGAAGAGGAGGATAGGCAGCGAGCGGCAGTGGCGCCAATTGCAACAACAACGATCAATATCAAGCCCGTCAATCCGCCCCCGTTCAATCCTACGGACAAAACGACTACAGTGAAGGGGTGGCTGTTCGGTGTCGAGGTCTTCTTCACTGCTGCGGGCGTTAACGACGATGCCACGCGTATTAATTACGCGGTTTCGCTTCTTCGAGGTGCAGCGCTTGAATGGTGGCGCCGGACCTTGGAAACGGGGACGCCGACAGGTGTGACACATGCGGCAGACGGGACCTCTACAGTGGTTCATCAAGTGGCAGAACCAATCTTCGGCGTGACCAAGATTCGCACGTGGAAGGAGTGGAACGCAGCCTTACAAGATCGCTTCGAGCACGTATCCGCCTCGGAGCAAGCTCGCATGAAGCTGCGTGCATGGTCGCAGATGGCTTCTGTCCAAGACTACACGGCGTCATTTATGGGCCTCGCCGACCAAGTTGACGACATATCGGAAGCAGAGCGGTTGGATAAATACATCAGCGGCCTTAAATACGAGATACAGTACGAGGTTCGCAGGGGCCGCCCGACATCGTTTCTTGAAGCTGTACGGTTGGCGGAGTCTACAGATGCGCTGATGCAGTACGCGAGAGCAGCTTCCAGGGATGGGAGAAGCTTTCGTGGCCAGACCCATCGGGCCACGATCAACGCCGTCCATACACCCGACCGCCCTCCTAAGGGTCAGTGTTTCCGGTGTGGGAAGGTGGGTCACTACAAGAAAGACTGCCAGGAGAAAATGCCGCTGACAGGGGACGACATGAAGGAACAGGGAAATGGGAAGAGTCAGTAATTAGCGGGCCCTTTACTGACTGTGCTCCATCGCCTGAACACCATCATCCCCACCGAGTCGTGGTTCCGATTCATGCAATCGATCGCACTCGGCCGAATAACGGGGATAATCATGTGGATCACCCTGTGCTGGTCGCTGGCAAGGTGTTAAAAAATAATTAAAAAATGTTCGTCGATGGAGGGGCCAGCCATAGCCTCTTCAACTTGGCGAGCGCAAAAAGATGCAAGCTGCAACTTGACAGGTGTCTGCACGAAATTGACGCACGCCTCGTGGATGGGACGCCTCTGGCGATAACGGAAGAAACACGGACGGTCAGGATCGAATGCGGCGACGATTTCGGCTTCAGCATGAAGTTCATCGCGGCGACGCTGGATGGCTGCGACGTGCTGCTGGGACGTGATTGGCTGCGACGACACAACCCCGTCATCGACTGGACAACGGGATCGTGCTGCGTCAGCAAGCACGAGGGGCTAATTAAGCTGCCTGCATGGACACCTGACTACATCCAAGCCCCGTGCGTCAAAGCTATCACTATAGCTCGCCACTTCAACAGGGGCGCGCAGCTGTTCGCTGTCTGCTTACGCGAGTTGGCAGTCGACACCGACGGAAAGGACATCGAGAAGCTGTGTGCAGCTGTACCTCCGGATTTAGCGGAGCTGATTCGACAGTACCCCGACATTTTCCCGGACGATTTGCCACCTGGGCTGCCACCCGAGAGACCCGAAGACCATAAAATCCAGCTGGAACCTGGCGCGCAACCAACTGTTCGGACACAGTGGCGGTTGACCCAGCCGGAACTCGAGGAGCTACGCCGACAAATTGACGCACTGTTGGAGAAAGGGTTCATTCGGCCAAGCACCTCCCCGTTCGCGGCACCGATCCTGTTCACTCCGAAGAAGGACGGCGGGCTTCGCATGTGCATCGATTATCGCGCGTTGAACCGGGTGACCATCAAATCTCGCTACCCAATCCCACGCACCGACGACCTTCTTGACCAACTTCGCGGCGCTCGCTACTTCTCGAAAATCGACTTACGTGGCGGTTACCACCAGATTCGGGTCTTCGCCGACGATTGTCACAAGACCGCGTTTCGCACACGCTACGGGAGTTACGAATTTACAGTGATGCCTTTCGGCCTCACGAACGCGCCTTCGACATTTCAACTGACCATGAACAGGGTTTTTCGGGATCTTCTAGACCGATGTGTCATCGTCTACTTGGACGATATCCTCATTTTTAGCAAGACACGGGAGCAGCATCTCCGCGACCTGGACGCAGTGTTTAAGCGGTTGCAGGAGAACCGCCTCATCGCTCTAAGTGCGAGTTTTTTAAGCAGGAGTTGGAGTTTTTAGGCCACGACATTTCCCGCGACGGCATCAAAATCGACCCGGCGAAGATCAAGACCATCCAGGAGTGGAAGGATCCGACTAATGTCACGGAAATTCAGAGTTTTATGGGGTTCATGAATTATGTCTGGCGGTTTATCCCGAATATGGCGGGGATAACCGGCCCGCTGACCGACCTGCTGCACAAGGACAAGAATTTCGTGTGGGGGGAGGAGGCAGAGGCGGCTTTCCAGGAGCTCAAGAATTTTCTCGTTTCCCCTCCTGTGCTGCGCATCGCCGACCCATCGAAGCCGTTCGAAGTCGTAACCGACGCCTCTGATTTCGCCATCGGAGCTGTGCTACTCCAAGATTTCGGGAACGGGCTGCAGCCGATCGCCTACGAATCACGCAAGCTGCAAGCTGCCGAGCGCAACTACCCGATTCACGACAAGGAGATGCTCGCCATTCTTCACACGTTCAAACTGTGGCGCTGCTTCTTGGTGGGCGCCGATGTCACTGTGCGCACGCACCACAAGCCCCTAGAGTACCTGCGAGCCCAGCCCAACCTCAACCCGCGACAAATTCGGTGGCTGGATTACATGGAGAGCCACTTCACCTACCGCATCACGTACAAGAAGGGGGCGAATAACATCGCCGATGCCCTGACCAGACCGACAGTACAATCCGCTGCAGTACTCATCACTCATTCGAACCCACTACTTACCGAACTATTCACCCGCGGCTACACTATGGACCCGTTCCGTCTGGGAATCATCAGCAGGCCACGACGCAGAAAGGGGATTATTACCTAAAAGCCGGAACCGACCGGATTTGGGTTCCCGCTTACCGGCTGCTGCGTGAACTCCTTATCCAAGAGGTCCACGATTCGAACTTCTCTGGACACTTCGGGGTTGACAAAACCCAGAAATTACTGCACCGTCAATATTACTGGCCTGACTCCTCTAACGACGTGCAGCGCTATGTGTCCTCATGCAGGGTGTGCCAAGCCATGAAATCGACACGTCAACGACCAGCTGGGCTGCTGCAACCCCTCGAGCCACCCGCCACCGTGGCAGCAAGTGACGATGGATTTCGTCACGGGGATGCCAGCTGGGCCGTCCGGCAACGACGCTGTTCTCGTCGTCGTCGATCGCTTCACGAAAATGGCGCACTTCGCCCCATGCCGAACGACAATCACAGCCGAAGAAACTGCGCGCCTCTTCATCTCAACGGTCGTGCGACTGCACGGCATCCCTTCGGCGATCATCAGCTACCGAGACCCATACTTTACATCGAAATTCTGGAAGGAGACGTGGGCGCAGTACGGCACGAAGCTACAGTTCTCATCGGCATACCACCCACAGACGGACGGACAAACCGAGCGAACCAATCAGACCATGGAGCAGCTGATACGGACAAACTGCCCCGTCCCTGCCCGCTGGGAAGATTCTCTCGCCATGTTGGAGTTCGCCTTCAACAACGCACCGTCAAGCACGACTAATCACTCCCCGTTTTTCCTAAATTACGGGATGGATCCGACGGTCCCCACGGCAACTCAGCTCGACAACCCAGTCCCAAGGTCAGAAACCTTTGTGACGGAACTTCAAAGCATCCGCGAAAAAGCCGCAGACGCGATCTCCAAGGTGAATATCACCTCCCGCAAACACACCGACCTTCTACGCTGGGAACTCGTCTTGACCACTGGGCAACTAGTACTCCTCGACACGAAGAACCTGAACCTGCCCGACCCGTCAAAACTACGACCACAATTTTGCGGACCCTTCAAGATTATCAAGATGGTGACACCTGTCACCGCGAAGCTGCTGCTACCCGACGACTGGCGAATTCACGACGCCTTCCACGTCAGCCTACTTTGCAAGTTCGTGCCAGCCACGACCGACATCGCA